CCCCGCCCCGCAGCGGGGTGTCGGCCCCATCTTGGGCCCCGGGGATCGCCCCCAGGAGTGGGGTCCCTGCCCCGCCCCAGGCCTTGGGGTTCGCCCCCAGGAGTGGGATGCCGGCCCCACCCCAGGCTTTGGGGATCCCCCTGCGGGAGTGGGGTGACGACCCCATCCCAGGCTTTGGGGATCCCTCTCAGAGTGTGCTGCTGGCACTACAGCAAGCCCTGGGTGTCCCCCAGCAGCAGGGTGCCGGGCCCTGGGGTGCCCCCCCAGGAGTGGGGTGCCAGCCCCACTCCACTGCAGTACCGTCCCCCCCAAGCCCATTGGTGTCCAGCCTGCACACATCCCCTGGGGGTGCAGGCCCCTCCGTGGGCTCCCCTCGCCCCAGCCCCAGGCCAGCTGGGGTGGAGGCAACGGGGTGATGGACACCCGCTGCCTCCCCGCCTCCCCCTGCCGGGGCACCGGGACAGGCCCGAGCCCCTCCATCTCACCTTCATCCTCCCCTCACTGGGAGGGAGTGGGGGGCTCGGGCGGGTGGCTCTGCCCCACGGGTACCTGATTTTCATACCGATAACGGGCCGCTCGCCCTCTTCAAAGCGCCCCAGCGATGCTCCTGTGGGCGTTCACAGACCTGCCCTGTGCCTGCGGGCAAGGCAGCTGCTTATTTATTTTAATTTGTAGTTTTTTTAATGACTCCTAGTTGGGGTTTTTATTCCCTTTCTGAAATTCCCAGGGAGAGCCTCGCTCCCGGTGTGACGTGGGAGCACACGGGGCTCCCACGGCACCGTGGCGTGGTGGGACATGGGACGGGTGGAGAAATCCTCGGCTGCTGCCTGGGGAGTGCTGGCAGAAAATGTCTTTCGGCTCGTCGCCGTTGGCAGAGGAAGCCACCGGCAGCAGGAAGTCACGCCGAAATCCGGCAGCCCTTTATTTGCTCAACCCCTGCCTGCCTTGAGAAATACGTAGTTAACGCCTTGAAAACGTTCGTTTAACAGAGTGCTTGCTTAGGTTTTTTGGGGTTTATTTTTTATTTTAGTTTTGCCTTGGTGTGAGCCATGCTGGTGGCAAGACCCGTCTGGGGGGCGGGGGGGGCTGGGCAGGGGTCTGCGCCGTCGGA